ACGCAGGGATAGAGCCCCAAACCTCCATTGAAGAGCTTATATGTGTTTTGGTGCCATTTTGTGAAGGTGTGAAGAAGGAGAAGAAGGAAGAAGCAAGGAGAAGTGTTGTAGTGCAAAGATCCAAGGCCAAATCAGAGTTAATTGAGGTATTTTCGGAGTTCCATCTTGTTATATGCTTTAAACTTCCATTAGAGCTCTCCTAAGAGCTAGTTGATGCTTGTTCCAAGCCTTACACTTGCATGAACGTCTTATTAAGTCGATATATCTATGGATCTGAATGTTGGGGTGTTGTAGAGCCCAGATCTACTGTCTTTTTGGAGTTATATTGCATGATAACCATAGATCTACCCATTTTATGCATCTTTTAGCCTTATTTCCCTTATTCATGAGGTTGTGCACGTAAAGTTGGAAACTTTACGTGGTAAAACAGCTTATTGGACTCAGATCTATCAATTGTATGCATTGGATTCAAACAAAATCAAGTAAAAATCAGTTGCATGGCGGCGACTCGGCGAGTCGGAAGAACGACTCGACGAGTCGGGTCGCGAGTCCCGAGTCCTTCAGTTTTATCAGTGTCGAGTGGACGAGGTGAGTCAGGAAGTGGACTCAGCGAGTTGAGAGTAGACTCAGTGATGGAGGGACTCGACGAGTTTGTTCATACAACTCGGCGAGTCCAAGGCAATCTTCTTGGGATCAAGAACAACTCGTCGAGTCTGTTCATACGACTCGGCGAGTCGGATGAAGATTGTCTGAGTTCTTGGATCAAGAGGGTACTCGTCGAGTCGATGCCAGACTCGACGAGTAGCAGTGAGTAAGAGTGAAAAGTAAGAGTGGGACTCGGCGAGTTGGGTGGCCCAACTCGGCGAGTCAGCCCAAAAGATAATTGACTTTGACCGAGGGTAAAAGAGTCATTTTACCCCAAGCGCAGTGTTTAGTATTTGATTGAGTGTGTTTATGGACTTGTAGCCGAGGAGATTCAGGAGCAGCCGCCGTTAGCTTTCCGAGCCACACACTCAGCAGCCAGCTTACGAGGTGAGTTTCCTTCCAGTAGGAACGGGTCTAAGGCCACAATGCCGGCCCGTTCAGTTAGCAGTAGTTTCCGGATTTAGGTCCGATGCAGTAGTTGGTATGTTCGATGCCTTCGTGGTTCGAACAGGATTTGTGTGCTATGTTTTATGTGTTAAGTACTATGTGTTCCGGGCCACGGCCCGATGTAGCATGTCATATGTGTGTTATGCTAGTTGATGTGTTATGCTATGCCATGTTCAGTCAGACAGTTCCGGACTTCGGTCCGATGCAGTTAGTTCCGGACTTCGGTCCGATGCAGGGGACAAGGTCCCAGTCAGTTCCGGACTTCGGTCCGATGCAGTTTCCGGGCTTCGGCCCGATGCAGTGGGCAAGGCCCAATATGTGTTTATATGTTATTGTATGGTATGTGGTAGTTTGGGGGAGCTCACTAAGCTTCGTGCTTACAGTTTCAGTTTTGGTTTCAGGTACTTCCGCAAGCAAAGGGAAGAGCTCGGGGTGACAGCATCGCACACACCACAGCATAGCTTTTATCCTGGGGATGTCTCTTGATGTTTTGGATTGATGTAGTATGATACAGTTTTCCGCACAATATTTTATTATGTTTTGGGGATACATCGCGTGTGTTTATGTTATGATACTTATATTATGGTTCTGATTATATGGAAAAACGAAAATTTTTGGGTCGTGTTTTTGGGTCGTTTCAAGTTTGTATCAGAGCCCTGGTTTGAGGGATTCGGATACACTTCCGGGTGTATCTGAACTCAAACTAAGGGAAATAAAAGATTTTAGTAAAATAAAAATGTTTTACAAAAAGAATTTTGAAAGCACTTGGAAAGAAAGAATTGTTTTTAACAAGATAGAGGTGTGTGCATGCGGTCAGCCGAGCTCAAGTAAGTACTCCCAAATTACCCATACAAGTTATTTGTTCAGTTTTAGTTTCAGTAGAACAGCATGCTAGTATAGGGCTAAGGATCTAGGAGAATGCCTTATGTGCCTGCTTATGTGTTACAGCTTTATGAGTATTGCATGCTAGAATCGAGTAGACAGCAGTAGGATAGCCTGTTTAGGTTATGCCTGATAGTATGAGCTTAGCATCCTATGCTAGTGCAGTTTCTTGTTATAAGAATAGTTTTGCCTGAGTCTATTTCCCGTGTCCGAATGCTGCTTGCTTCGTGCTTAGTGGGGTTCTGAGTAGTGGGAGTTAGCCATTAGGTGAACGCGTCACACCACATGTGATCAGGTTTGAATAATCCCAGAGTGCTGGAACTGGCTCTACTGCGCAGCTCTTGTTTGAGTCCAACCGTTGTAGGGACGGATCTTTTACTTGAAGGATTATCTGATCCTCATCACATGTGATGGTGTTTAGGTGGTGGCTAACTGGCATTATGAGGAGACCTACAGCAGCTGAGGACCAGTCGCGTTGAGCTTGAAGTTTCCCTAGGGCAAGCCTAGGATGAGAGTAGCAGAGAATGGCAGTAGTAGAAGGGACTTGGTGGAGTCAAGGCAGTTCTTGAGGAAAGTACGGATAGATGTGGAAGGTAGTAGGGGCCCATACTACTGAAAGCAGAGGATCTGTACTCGAATTAAGGAAGGCCGAGACAAGACCAGGAAGCTAGTAGTAGTATCATGATCCCTTGAGATATTTCAGTGTTCTGATGTTGTTATGATATGTTTCAGAATGGTAGTTTTGCGTCCGAGGCCAGCAGCCGGCAGTTCAGATGCCGGAGGGGGATCAGGATCGGGATCAGGCCCGGAGGCCGGGCAGATGGATGAGCAGACTAGGGAGTTCCTTTCTTCTGAGGTTACCCGCATCATACTAGAGCAGACTCCTGTGATCTTCGGTTCGATCAAGGAGGGTATTTTAGAGCTGATGGATGAGAGATTGAGTACTTTCCGTGCCGAGATGGCGGCCGTGATGGGGTCGCGCACACTTACGTTCAGGGAGTTCAGGGCATGCGGGGCTCCTGACTATCATGGGGCACGGGACCCCATAGCGAGTACCAGGTGGTTGGCGGATGTGGCCAACGTATTCCGCACTAGCAGATGTCCCGAGGGGGACAAGGTCATATTGGCGTCCTGTCTTCTGAAGGACAGGGCACGAGACTGGTGGGAGGAGGTCGGACATGCCATCGGGGATGATGCGGCACTGGATGCCATGACCTGGGCTGATTTCTCTACCAGGTTCAGAGCGGAGTTTGCACCGGTCATCGAGGTGCAACAGTTAGCTAGGGAGTTCCAGGATCTTACCCAAAACTACCGAGACAGTGGCGGAGATCACCGCCAAGTTCAGGGAGAGGGCCCTTCTTGTTCCTCAGTATGCAGCCGATGAGGAGATGAAGAAGGCCCGTTATCATGAGATGCTGCGGAGTGACATTCGCATGTTTGTGAGCCGGTCCAGTTGTAAAACGCTGGACGACATGATTGCTAGAGCCAGAGAGAGGGAGATTGATCTCGAGATGGAGAAGAAGAGGAAACCAAGAGGCGGTTTCAGGTTTAGGCAGTGTGGGCAAAAAGCCCAAGGTTTCAGATCACAGGTCTAGGGGACAGCAGAGCCACGGTCGGTGTGGCAAGTGTGGAAGATTGCACGAGGGGGCGTGCAAGGCAGGGAGTTCCGGCTGCTACAAGTGCGGTCGAACTGGGCATTTGAGTAGGGATTGTACGGCCCCTGCTACTACGGTTACAGCATCAGATCTGATTTGCAATTCAGTGCAATCAGAGGGGACATAAAAGGTCCCAGTGTCCCAGTTTAGCTGCAGCAGGGAAGGTGGTTGCACCTGCCCCTGCCACCCTGAGGATTACGGATGGCCGGCAGGGCCAAGCTGATGCGCCGGTGGCGAAGAGCAGGGCATTTCAGATGACAGCAGAGGAGGCGCGAGCGACTCCTGATGTGGTGACGGGTATGAATCTTTCCTTCATCTTTAATTGTTATTATATCGTTTGAATATTACTTGATGAAATGTTTTATTTAGGGTCGTTCTCGGTGAACGGCATCCCTGCTTTGGTATTGTTCGATTCGGGGGCTACCCGATCATTTGTATCGCTTGCGCTTAGCAAGAGACTTAGCAGAGCTCCCGAGGAGCTGGATTGCCCACTAGAGGTTGAGATAGCAGATGATAGGACCGTGAGGGTCGGCAGAGTGCATAAAGGGTGTTCCCTTCAGATATTTGATGAGCAGTTTTCAGTGGACCTGGTTCCTATTCCCCTGCGTGGGAATAAAGTTATTGTGGGCATGGATTGGTTGAGTCCCAATGGGGCGGTGATTGATTGTGAGCTACAGCTAGTGAGGGTTCGCACTCCCAGTGGGGGAGAGATAATGATTCAGGGCGAGAGGCCCCAGCGAGGACCGATCTTTTGTTCCGCAGCGAGGTCCGATGCAGTTTCCGGGCTTCAGCCCGATGCAGTGGGCAAGGCCCAATATGCGTTTATATGTTATTGTATGGTATGTGGTAGTTTGGGGGAGCTCACTAAGCTTCGTGCTTACAGTTTCAGTTTTGGTTTCAGGTACTTCCGCAAGCAAAGGGAATAGCTCGGGGTGACGGCATCGCACACACCGCAGCATAGCTTTTATCCTGGGGATGTCTCTTGATGTTTTGGATTGATGTAGTATGATACAGTTTTCTGCACAATATTTTATTATGTTTTGGGGATACATCGCGTGTGTTTATGTTATGATACTTATATTATGGTTCTGATTATATGGAAAAACGAAAATTTTTGGATCGTGTTTTTGGGTCGTTTCATATATATATATATATATATATATATATATATATATATATATATATATATATATATATATATATATATATATATATATATATATATATATTCTCTCTAATAAAAGAATCCATTTATGCCATTTGGCATCTCCTCAATCTATAAATTTTGAAAGTGAATTGCCAAAAATGCCCTTCATATTTTTCCACATAATTTTTAATTTTTAAAAAGTAATTATGTTGATTATGAGACGTTTAATTAGGAATATCTCGGAAGTATCTACGTGATCCCTGATTTTATGGAAATTATAATTTAAATTATACCTTTTAGTTTGATAACCCTGGTAACCCTGCAAATCAGGAACCAAATCAATGTTTTTTTTTTTTTTTTTGATTGATAATAGTGGCAAATTTACGAGGAACAAAAACTTTGGTCAACTTTGTTTGATGTTTAGGATTCAAATCGACTGTGTTGCATTTTCTTTTTTAACCTCTCCATCCTCCATCTAAAGCCCTCTGTCATTTATAGTTCTTTCTACTATAGCGTAGCTATTGGATTTGGTTTAGAAATCGCAAGAGGTAATTTCTAAATCTTTTCTCTACTTCTGTTTTCATACTTTCTCTACTCTCCCATCTCACTTTCAAATACTTTTCATGGTAATTCCTTCATCTTTTATCCTATATTTTTCGTTGATATGTTTGTAATCGATTTTGATTTAGAGCTTGGTGCATTTCTTGTGGTTTCCATGGGTTTAATTTAATAATAGAAATATTTTATCCGTGCTTTTCACGGGTTGTAACCTAGTATATATATATATATATATATATATATATATATATATATATATATATATATATATATATATATATATATATATATATCTTTACTATCTTATAAAAGAAATCTAACTATTTCTAAAAATAGATTGATTATAATAATAATATTTTTTTAAGACGTCCAAATGATGAAGCTGATAGTACAAGTAATCATTAATAAAATAATATTAAATTTTAACCATATTTTGAATTCAAATATTTATCATCAAATCTCCTTATATTTCTCAACAATTTGATATGGTTTCCTCAAATCTCGGATTCATTCAAATTTTGAACCCTTTTAGATATCCTTAAATTTAGCATGTTGATTCAAATATCCCTCCAATCGCATATACCTCTTTGCTCCCTCCTCTACTATAAAGTCCACCGTCCAGGAATAAAAAATGACTTCATTTCCCAAATAACACCATAGTTTGATTATTTTGTCTTCGACGTGTACTTTCTTTTGTAACATAACATTTTTGTAGAGGAAACATATCACTAAAAGAATTTACACGCCCCGCCGCTTTGCGCGGGTGCACTGCTAGTATATATATATATATATATATATATATATATATATATATATATATATATATATATATATATATATATATATATATATATATATATATATATAATAAACGAACTTGATAGAGAAAAAGTCCTACATACATTGGAAAATTCATCATCGGGTACTACTAACTTGCACTGAATGCGGGGTTTAATAGCAGCTAAAGTTTCATCTTCATGAATTATCATAAAGAAAGGCTCCCCAAAGTTTTTCACCTGTTGCAGCTGCAAATCAAAGATGAACCATAATAAATAAATAAATAAATTAACAGTTGAACGAAAAGTAAACTTGAGATTATATATGTACCCCCCACTTCTGTTGAGCCTGTTTGATGAAATGGTATACATGAATACGCCGATACCCGGGTTTCAGGTCCTTCTCTTCTTCTGGAATCTAATTAAGGTAACAAAACACAAGTAAATAAATCAATTTACTAATTCTAAATTACAACACTCATGTAGAAAATAATAACTCACTTTCTCTGCACGTAATACCCAGGTATCATCTATAAAAACAATTCTCTCCCACAGTCTGAAGACCTGTGAGTCATCATCACCAGTCAACACAACAAATTGAATGGAACACTCTAGAAATTAACTGGAAAAAAAAAAGATATCAGAAACAATACCTTGTAAATCCTATGGCGGTATAACAGAAGCAATCTAAGTTCAGCATCTGGAGGAGATACATTCACCTGCTTAAACATGCAATTTACATTTACAATAATAATAAAAACACAGCATATATATATATATATATATATATATATATATATATATATATATATATATATAAAAGAGAGATTCAGTATGTATTTTTCATCAAACCAAACTCTGTTGGTGAAAGTGACATATGATATGAGAATTTTAACAAAGTGAGATAGACATATATATATATATATATATATATATATATATAGAGAGAGAGAGAGAGAGAGAGAGAGAGAGAGAGAGAGAGAGAGAAACCTCATTAGAGGTGCCTAGCATGTCTACCAAATTTCCTTCAAATGGATATTCAATGGGGAAATCGCACTCTGGGAGATTCAAATTCACGTTGTGAGGACGAAACCTGATTTTTAATGGATCAGCCATATCAAGTCTCTTGGCAACTAAGAAGAAAGTCAAACTCACAATTCAAGAGTGAAAGCATCCTCCTCAGGCTTCCCCTTAGATCGAAAATGAACCACCTGCAATTGCAAAAGGAAGGGAATATGCATGAAATTAAATTAAAGCGGATACCTTAATTCAACTCACGGCTTATAATTAACAGACCTGACTATAATAGACATGTTCCAGAAATGAAGGAATGTTAGGATATTTGTTGTCTTTATCACCAGCCTCAAATACTTTCTGAAAGCAAATTATGTCTCCGTCCTTGATCTGTTGTTGTATAAAGAAACAAAGACTTTGTTCACATATAATACTCCTATTAGGTAATTAGGTCGTAACCAACTTTTTGATGAGACGACTAATAATACCTGGCTACATCCAAATGAGGTTTTAATGTCAAGACGTGCACACATCACACATGGATCAAACTCTAGTTCATGATGCCGCTCAAATTTAATTTCCTGATCGATCAAATCATACATGTATAAAATATAAACACCAACTCACGACTACTAATTAAACAGGCAAGAGCATTCAGTTGTTAGATTATACCAACCTCATACAGCTCAATTTCTTCATCTGGACTAAACCCAACTTTCTCATTTAATTTTGATACGATTTCAGTTGGTTTTTGAGAGCTCCTCACGTAAAGGCTACCAACATATCCGGAACAAAAAGAATAATACATAATCTTAACACACAACTCCATTTTAAAGAAAAGAAAAAAAAAAAAAAAAAAAAAAAAAAAAGTACCGGAGTTGTAACTTGTCCAGAACCGTTGACACTCAACAGGCACACCGAATTCTCTAGCAACCTCCTCCTGTAGGCAACCTAATAAGTCCATAACAACACATTTAAGAAAATGAATTTGATAAGAGATACCTTCACTCTGGTAAATGGCATTTCTTTCTCTAGACAAAGGCTCCAAACTTTGTCATGGTCGACAAGATCAAGATGTATATCCTTCCCTATCTGTTCAAACAGGTCTGCATCACGAGCAACCGCAACCTATAGATACATGTGATTTAGTACGGATGGATTTCATGAAAGGGAATTGAGCTGATATCTCTACCACCTTGATAGTAGTGTCATGTGCCTTTTCATCCGCTTCTTCAACAATTTTCTGTTTTTTCGCCATATTAGATGAACCAGCACCTACGCCCATATCTAAATCTGCCATATCTCGGCTATCAACAATATCTTCCTCACTCCACTAACCGATCCAAAAATACCCGACTCATAACCCTAACAACTCGTTCCCGAAGGGAAGCGGAAGGAATCGGGAGGAAAAGATGATCTGATCTTGTTCCCCAATTCCCGTTTTTTGAAGTTTACACAATTACCCTTCCTATTACTATATAAACGGATGATCTACACAAGAAAACACATCACGCACAACATTCTGCTCAGTCCTCAAGCCGTTCTACACGTCAATCTTCGTCCCTAATACTTGTTTCTGCATTCTTATTAGTTGAACTTCGCTGCTATTGTTTGCTTCTTACTCAACTGCTGCGTTCTTACTTATATACGATTTCGGTAATTCATTATTCAATAACTCCCATGTGGTTCTCTTTTTGTGTTTTTTTGGCACTGTGAATTTGATTTAGGTTCGAGTTTGGATCAAACCCACAAATTGTATTAGAAAGGTTAAATCTTGAATGGTTGATTGCCACTCTCATGATGGATTTACAATGCCTCTTTTAACAATACCATTATGTCTCCTTAAAATTTTGTACTCGACCCCAACCTTCAATTATACATCTGTAATTCGTTTCATCCTCTTAATTCTCCATTAAGAATGCGACTCATCTAAAGTCCAAAGTATTTTACTGAATGGGTCTTGTTGTTCCATACCTTGATTAGATATGGCCATATGAGTTTTATATATTTAACAAAAAAATAATAATTAATGAGTAACCTTCTGTTGCAGTTGACATATAATCCTAACCATCATGAGACTGGCATAGCTTCATATCCATTCATTGAGGAGATCAGGTTGAAGAGAATGGCCTGTAGCATGTAAAGATGAAAACCCTCTACCAGATTGGTTGTTGAAACAAGTAATAATTATATATTCATCACAAATACGTTCATAACCTCAAATCGGAAAGAAATTGAGTTGGTAAAATTGAGTAAATCCCATTTTTTTAAAAACTGATATAAAGCCTAAATCTTATCATCTAGAATTTGACAATGCTTACACTAGAATCGTGTATGTTACTCTGGTTTGCATGATAGATATAAGATTTCTCCTTCTAATTCCTTTTGGTTGATTACCTTCTCATGGTTATGAAGGTAAATATTTTGTTATTAATGCATTATACTACGTAAATTCTGTCTAATCATAGTATTGTACTTTCAAATATTTTTTTTATTAGGACGTTATGCTTTACGAAATCTACCTAACTATGGCAATGAAAATTGATTTTTCTATCGTTGACACTTCAATAGTATTTAGTTTAAGACAAGGACCATTGAGCTTAATGGAAAACAGATCAAACTGCAAATATGGGACTGGTGGTCAGTAATGCTACTGAATGACTTAATGGTGTTCTACTTCTAACTCATGTTGATAGCATTGGCATCGAGCCAGTGTGTAATATCTAAAATATTTTGATGTGTTAGTGTTACCATGTTTTCCTATGATTGTGTTTGATGTCAAATGCCACTTGATCTTTGAAGGGGTCAGTTTCTTTTTTCTTCTGATGTTGTAAATGAATTAAAGGTTGTTGGTCAGAGCAATTATGATCTGGTATACTTGTATGATGCTAATCTTATGGATACGTTATGGAAAGAATCAAGTCCAATTTCTCTAAATAGAATTAAATATGTTGGTTTAGATGGATTAACTAAACTATATAATTTGATGTTTGAACTCTGTCATGTTTGTTTGCTTTTATATATAAGAAATTATGTAAATAAATATTTTCACTTTTCAATATGCATATACTATACTGAAAATTAAATCTAAACAATGATTGTTTCTATTTTTTGGAATAAATGAGAAACGTCTCCTTCTTACATAGCTCTGAAACTACACTCGGACTATACAATCGCCTCGTATATGTATATAATTAATAGCTTTAATAAAAAAAATGTCCTTTCCTCATATTATTATTTTTATATTACGATCTTCCAACAAACTATCAATCAATGTTTTGGGGGTGTTTCGTAAAAAACTTATTAGAGGTTTCCCACCTCAATAAGATATTTTTAGTTAAACATTTTTTTAGGTTATAGTAGTGTGGAACCACTAATAAGCTCATAAGCTCCTTAAATAAACGTAACCAAACACCCCCTTATTGAGATTTTGTAATTTGTGTAGAGTTGTTTCCAACATCAGTAGGGTCCATTGTTCTATTTAACCTAGCATATTGAAAATCAAAATGATTGAAATAGAAATATAATCTCCAATTTAAAAAAATTCTTACACTCATAAATTTACGGGACTTATTATGGAGATTGTTGATATCAAGGAAGCATCAAATCAATAGAAAATCAATCCATCGTAACAGTGTCAATAATCATACATGTTTGACGAGCAAAAGAATGTGAGATTGACTGCTTTTGGAGACGCAATAGCAGAATACGGAAGAAGATGATAATAGATATTTTTGTTAAGATAAAGTAAAAAACTAACATGAAATATATATTGAAAAGATCACAAATTTTAGGGAGGAAGAATATGGATGAACAATAGAGAGATAATAGGAATTTTATATGTCAAGATAAATCACATTTTACTAGAAGTGTCTTTGAATAGATCAGGATAATTGTGAAAAAAATGCACGTATGAACCCATAGACCCTTTTCTCTCCACTTTTCCATCTAAGTCTCTATGTATCCATTAATACCTACATATATTTAATATATTAAATGTTATCCTTGTTAAGCTCATTAAGTCCTAAAGAGACACTACCTTAGGGCATATTGTTTTGAGTTAGGTCAGGTTAAATTATAATTATAGATATTTGCAAACCATTACTTTTTTTTATTCGTCTATATTTGGTTGCTTTCTCTAGTATTGAGTTGAAAGTGTTATCTCTCATCCCATGTGAGTCACATTTGAAAAATGGATTGATGAATCATCCTAAAGTGGTAATTCCAATGAATCACCTTATGAGTTTATTATTTTTATGCAAGTTAAATCCACATTTTAGCTCTAATATGACATTATTTCATTTTCCACGATTTTGCTTAATTTATTTTATGTTCTTATTGAAACGGGATACCAAAATCTCCAAATGTTTTTCTCAAATTCATTTACAAAAGTCATGATCCTACTTTAAGAGGTTTCCAAGTTTAAGTAAAGGAGAGGTGTGAATATCTTTCGGTTATGAATTGTGCCTTGTAAATATGCATAGTTGAACTCTTATTTTTATGTATGTCTAAACATCATGTTGGGATTCATCCCATTAACATGGATATATACAACTACAATCGTCCAAAATCATCTAAGCTTTAGACTGAAGTTGTTTTCATCATTAGGGTTTAGATGTTTTAAAGTGATTACATGTACTTTAGTGACATCATGTTATACTTCACTTTTCATGTCCACAATCAAGAAGAAAATAAAACAAAACAAAAACAAAAGAGTTTCTTTCAGAAATCTAACCTACTCATGGAAAACAACCACAACATAAAAACATTATGATCTTGGCTCATCCAAACCATAGAAGGTCATGTGGCCCAAATTTGGCACATATTGCATTGTAGCAAAATCTTTCCAACTGAGTTTTGAGACTTGAAAACACCAAAATCCATGCATCCGCCTTGAAACATCATAAATGGAGGAATTATAGCGTGCATGTCCTCTAGTCTAATTATTGTGATCTTGGTTCCCCCCCCTCCCCCACCCCCACCCTACATCAAGCGTTTATATGACATTAAAATCCTTTTATGTGTGAAACTTTGATTTTACGCATGCAACAAAATATTTTTGTCCATGTTTTCTGAATAATTCCTTTTAACACCCCGACTCTTTGATTATGTGGTAGAGCCACATGTATACTTTTCGCAAATAGCATGTCAATTTTACCCTCCCCCTTCCTCCTCCTCATCCTAGTATTCACTAATATAGGATATGCAAGCGTCTCCTATGTTTTGATCTCTAAAATTATACTCCTTAATCAACAACTTAGCATCCAAAATAAATCTCCCTTCTTCTTTGACAATATCAAGAGTTAGCATGTGCTCGTAAATCTCTTTCAAATCATCATATATTTTATTACGATTGCATTTGCACAGAGAAGAACTCTCATGTGTTGGGTCTTCAATGTAATAATCATATACATTGTGTGTGGTCTTCTTCCTCTGTACTACAACACTATCAATGGTTGTATCATGTATGCCTTCCAAAATGGTATCTACCAAACCTTTACTCTTGAAATCCCACCTTCCTCCACCAGGATAGATTTATGTCTATATTTCGCATTATGCATTTCATTTTTCATAAAACGCACCATTTCTACAGCCACGGTAATGATCCTGTCACTATCGTTTTCGTTCTTTACCTTCTGCGCGAAATTGTGAGAGATTTACTTTTTCCCCAAGTTGGTGGGGAATGCACCAAGTGCAGCAAGTTAGACAAGAGTTGACCTAAAGCTTGTGTTGTACAATTGTATTCGCATACAATTTCATCTATCTCTCGGTACCGTCTCATATCCCTTTGGTTGAGTTCAATATGTCCTATTGTATGGATTACTTGGCTATATCGAACGTAATTTATGTGTGGTTTTGTGAGGTAGAATTTGTAACTTCATTTGGTGAACTAGTTAGACCCATTTGAGATTGTGTATAGCATCCGAGATTCCATACCTTTTTCCTTGAAATTATCGACCACGCTTATTGACCAAAAAAGGAAGAGAAGGAAATGCAAGTTGTTTATGGGGTGTGACATACTATTACAACATTGTACTTTACAATTTTATAAAGTGCAATGCTCTAATAAATAAAAAATTAAGCATAATTAAGAAAAAATTGAGAAAGGGTGCTAACCTAGCATGCAAAGAGCAGCAAATTCGGTCCGACAAATCCATCACATCCAATCCTCTTTCAATCCCTTTATTGGAGAGCATGTGTATGTATATGTTTCTATGAACTGTGCAGTCAATTGTGTGTTATAGCGGTGGTATAGCAATGATATAGAGAATAGTGGACCTCAACATAATAGGTTTGAAG